AAACAGATGTGGGTCTGGTGCGGTGGTTCATACCTGTAATCTCAGCACTTTGGGAGGCTGAGGCGGGCGGATCACGAGGTCAGGAGATCAAGACCATCCTGGCTAACACGTTGAAACCCCATCTCTACTAAAAATACAAAAAGTTAGCTGGGTGTGGTGGCGGGCCCCTGTAGTCTCAGCTACTTGGGAGGCTGAGGCAGGAGAATGGCGTGAACCTGGGAGGCAGAGCTTGCAGTGAGCCAAGATCACATCACTGCACTCCAGCCTGGGCGACAGAGCGAGACTCCATCTCAAAAACAAACAAACAAACAAAAAACAGGTGTTGTGCTATGGCTCACGCCTGTAATCCCAACACTTTGGGAGGTTGAGGTGAGAGGATCGCTTGAGCCCAGGAGTTCGAGACCAGCTTGGACAACATGGTGAAACCCTGTCTCTACGAAAAATAGAAAAAATTAGCCAGGTATGGTGGCGCATGCCTGTGGCCCCAGCTACTCTGGAGGCTGAGGCGGGAGGAGCACTTGAGCCTGGGAGGTTGAGACCAGCCTGGGCAACAACGTGAGACCTCGTCTGTACAAAAAAATTTCTTTGTATAGCTGAACCTGGTGGCGTATGCCTGTAGTTCCGGCTCCTGTGGAGGCTGAGATGAGAGGATCGCTTGGGACCAGGAAGTCGAGGATTCAGTGAACTGTGATTCTCTCTCTGTACTCCAGCCTGGGCAACAGAGCAAGACCCTGTCTCAGAAAACAAAATCAAAAAAACTTTCTGGCTGGGCATAGTGGCTCATGCTTATAATCCCAGAAATTTTGGAGGCCAAGGTGGGAGAACTGCTTGAGCCCAGGGGATTGAGACCAGCCCAGGCAACACAGTGAGACTCTATCTTTACATAAAATAGAAAAAATTAGCCAGGCATGGTGGCACATGCCTGTGGTCCCAGCTACTTGGGAGGCTGAGGTGGGAGGATTGCTTGAGCCTGGGAGGCCAAGGCTGCAGTGAGCCATGATTGTGCCAACTGTATTCCAGTCTGGGCAACAGAGTGACACTGCGTATCCAAAAACTAAATAAAATAACAGCTTTAGGCCAGGTGCGGTGGCTCACGCCTGTAATTCCTGCTCTTTGGGAGGCGAGGCAAGCGGATCACTAGAGGTCAGGAGTTCAAGACCAGCCTGGCCAACATGGTGAGACCCCGTCTCTACTAAAAAATACAAAAATTAACCAGGCATGGTGGCACATGCCTATAATCCCAGCTACTCCGGAGGCTGAGGCAGGAGAATCATTTGAACCCGGGAGGTGGAGGTTGCAGTGAGCTGAGATCACGCCACTGTGCTCCAGACTGCACGAAAGAGTGAGACTGATCTCAAAAAAGAAAAAGAGAGCCGAATTCAACCCCTGAGCCACCTGTTTGCCACCTTGGCTTTAGATGCCTTTTTTCTTTTTTTTTTTCCTGAGACGGATCTCACTCTGTCCCCCAGGCTGGAGTGCAGTGGGACAATCTCGGCTCACTGCAGCTTCTGCCTCCTGGGTTCAAGCAATTTTCCTGCCTCAGCCTCCCAAATAGCTGGGATTATAGGTTCATGCCACCACGCCCAGCTAATTTTTGTATTTTTAGTAGAGACTGGGTTTCCACCATGTTGACCAGGCTGGTCACAAACTCCTGACCTCAAGTGATTCACCCACTTCAGCCACCCAAAGTGTTGGGATTACAGGTGTGAGCCACCGCACCCGGCTAGATGCCGGTATTCCTAAGGATGATCATTTGCCCTTCTGACTCACAATTCTGAAATTCATCACATCAATTCTGAGGACTTAAATTACTGCCTCAGTGAGAGGCTGTGTGGTGTGGTTAAGAGCATAGATAAGGAGCTGGATTACTGGAGTTGGAATCTTGGCTCTGGCACTTAGTAATTGTGTAGCTTTGATTACCTCACACAACTGTTTTTTGGTCTTACGTTGTCCAAGACACTGCCTGGGATTACAGGCATTAGCCACTGCACCCTACCTGCATACAACCTTTTGTTCCCTCATCTGTAAAATGGCAAGAGCGAAGGCACATACCTCATAGGGTTGTTGTGAGGAATCAATAAGTAAATGTATATAAAGATCCAACAGGCCGGGCATGGTGGCTCACGCCTGTAATCCCAGCACTTTGGGAGGCCGAGGTGGGCGGATCACAGGGTCAGGAGATCGAGACCACGGTGCAACCCTATCTCTACTATAAATACAAAAAATTAGCTGGGCATGGTGGCAGGCCCCTGTACCCCTGTAATCCCAGCTACTCAGGAAGCTGAGGCAGGAGAATCTCTTGAACCCAGGAGGCAGAGCTTACAGTGAGCAGAGATGGTACCACTGCACTCCAGCCTAGGCGACGGAACAAGACTCCATCTCAAAAACAACAACAATAACAACAAAAAACAAAACAAAAAAAACCCAGCTTTATAGAGATACAATTCACACATCATACAATTGGCCCATTCAGTGTACACTGCAGTGTTTTTTTACTGTGTTCATAGAGCTGTGCAACTATCACCACAATGATTTTTTGAACATTTTCATCTCCCCTAAAAGAAACCCTGTGCCCATTAGTCGTCACTTCCCATCTCCTCCTCCCCCAGCCTTAGGCAGCCACTGATCCACTTTCTGTCTCTATGGATTTGCCTATTCTGGCCATTTCATAGAGATGGAATCACACAACATGTGCATTCCATATCTTGCTTTTCACTGTTTTCAAGACTCATCTGTGTTGTAGCAGGTGTCAATACTTCCTTCCTCTTATATATATATATTTTGAGACGAGGTCTCGCTTTGTCGCCCAGGCTGGAGTGCAGCTCACTGCAGTCTCCACTCCTGGGCTCAAGTGATCCTCCCTCTTCAGCCCCTGAGTAGCTGGGACCACAGCACGCCCACACCTGGCTAATTTTTTGTTTGTTTGTTTTGTAGAGATGGGGTTTCACCAGGTTGCCCAGACTAGTCTCAAACTCCTGGGCTTAAGCAATTCACCTGCCTCTGCCTCCCAACATACTGGGATTACAGGCATGAGCTACTGTGCTTAGCCTATTTATAGATATATTTTTAAATCTGGGGTCTTGCTATGTTGCCTAGGCTGGTTTTAAATTCAAGGCTCAAGCAATCCTCCCACCTCAGCCTCCCGAGTAGCTGGGACTACTACAGGTGCACACCACCATGCCCAGCCTGTACTTCATTCATTTTCATTGCTGAGTAATATTCCATTGTATGGCGGTACCACATTTTCTTTGTCCATGGACATCTGCGTTGTCTCTACTTTTGGCTGCTGTGAATATGGCTCTTATGAACATTCACATACAGGTTATTGTGTGGACATCCTCTCATTTCACGGATGAGGAGACCTCCTGCCCAGGCTCCCGCAGCGGGGAAGGGGAAGGGAAAGACTGCCTGGCCGGTTCCGGAGTCTGTGCTGCTTCCCCACCCAAGCTTTGTTCTCTGAGTTGAGCCAAATGCTGTGACAAGCATAGGTCAGGGCACAAAGAAGCGAGGCTTTATAGAGGAAGGGATGACAGCTTCCCAGGGCCATAAAAGATGAGTAGGGGAGGAAGATAACATTGCAGGCAGAGAAATAGCAGGCGCAAAGGCCGGAAGTATTAAGGTGCCCGGTGCCTGGGAACTTCAAGTTCTGGTTTACTGGGTGGAGGTGTGGGGAGGTGAGGGGTAAAGAAAGGGATAGCAGGCAATAGAGTTGGAGACACAGGCAAAGAGTAGGTTAGAAAGGCCTTGAATGCAGGCTGGGCGCGGTGGCTCATGCCTGTAATCCTAACACTTTGGGAGGCTGAGGCAACCAGATCACCTGAGGTCAGGAGTTCGAGACCAGCCTGGACAACATGGCAAAACCCCATCTCTATTAAGAATACAAAAATTGGCCGGGCGCGGTGGCTCACGCCTGTAATCCCAGCAGTTTGGGAGGCTGAGGCGGGTGGATCACGAGGTCAGAAGATGGAGACCATCCTGGCTAACACGGTGAAACCCCGTCTCTACTAAAAATACAAAAAAAGGAGACGGGCGTGGTGGCGGGCACCTGTAGTTCCAGCTACTCGGGAGGCTGAGGCAGGAGAATGGCGTGAACCCGGGAGGCGGAACTTGCAGTGAGCTGAGATGGCGCCACTGCACTCCAGCCTGGGTGACAGAGTGAGACTCCATCTCAAAAAAAAAAAAGCCAAGCGTGTGCCCCTATAATTCCAACTGCCAAGGCTAAAAGCATGAAATCAAAGCGGACACGGGAGCGGATGTTGCAGAGCCGGGATGGTTCCATTGCACATTGCACTGGGAGAGCAAAATTATGTCTCAGAAAAAAAAAAAAAAAAAAGCCAGATGCTATACTAAGCACCATAGACTAAAAAAAAAAAAAAGCCTTGAATGCTATACTAAGCACCATAGACTTGATCCCAAAGGTGTGTGGCAGGGAGTCCAGAAGAGCATCAGCAGAAGGTAGAGTCAGACAGACCTAAGACAAATCCTAGCTCAGCTTCCTCAAGGCCCTTGCTTTAGTTTTATCATCTGGAAAATGGAGATGACAATAATAATACTTTGTTAAAGTGTTTTGAGCATTAAGTGAGTTCATGTCCCTAAGAGCTCAGCCTAGTGCCTGGCAGACAGCTGGCCCAGCAATGGAAATGGGTGTTGACATCCAAGAGCTTTTAGCAGGGGAGGTCAGACTGCTCTAGAAGGCACACCTAGCAGCAGAGAGTGACTGGCTGGTTTTGAGGAGGCGCTGTCCTGGGGAGGCTGGGCCCTCGGAGATGGTGGGGGAGATGCACAGCCACAGGTATGGTCTGAAGAAGTTTAGGAGGTGGCTTATGCAGACCCCCACGACTTTGGAAATTGCTTGTGAATAGTATCTAAATTCGGAATTGCTTCTCAGTCTTTTGACTGAAATCGAGTGTAATCTCTAAATTCTGATCTTTTGGTGACCCCAGGTCTGGTGCCAAACCACCGAGGGCTGGCTTGATGACTTTGTCTGTTCTTCTCTGCAGCACGTCCGCAGACGCCATGCGGGGGACTCTGACACCCCTGTCTTTGCTGCTGCTGCTGCTACTGGTGCTGGGGTGTGGGCCGCGGGCGTCCTCTGGTGGCGGGGCCGGCGGGGCAGCAGGCTATGCCCCGGTGAAGTACATCCAGCCCATGCAGAAAGGACCTGTGGGACCGCCCTTCCGTGAGGGCAAAGGCCAGTACCTGGGTGAGAGCCTCCTCACCCCACAGTGCCTCAAATCGCTCCCAACCCCCAAATCCCCTGCCTCCCTGACAGCCATCAGATCTCAGGTGCCCCCCACAGCCCCTCATTCCTCACCAATCTTCCCACCTCCACTGTTTTTCCTAATACCCCAGAGGGCCTGGAAACGGGTGCAGTTGGCTGGCACAGGTGGTCTTCCTAGGGGCAGATGAACTGGGAAGTTGGGAGGTGGGGCTCTGCGCCCACCGGCTCTAAGGTGGGCTGCTGGTGCCACCTGGTGGTCACTCCACCTTCAGGTCATGCAGGGATGAGAGGTGAGAATCAGCCAGGCTCATGGAGGAGGCCCAGCCTGGGTAGGTTGGGTGTTAGGAGCCCTTGGTGAGGACACCCTGTCGCCCCCAACCACCCCCAAAGCCCGTCTTCCATGAGAGCAAGGAGGGGCAGCCCCATTCTTCCTCTCCTGCGTACCTCATACTGGAATGGCGAAGGGGTAGATGGGGTCCCCTGTCCCCACAGTTCAGGCCCCTGACTGCCCCCTTCTCTTTCTTTCTCAGAAATGCCTCTACCGCTGCTGCCAATGGACCTGAAGGGAGAGCCTGGCCCCCCTGGGAAGCCTGGGCCTCGGGGTCCCCCTGGTCCCCCCGGCTTCCCAGGAAAACCAGGCACGGGAAAGCCAGGACTCCATGGTCAGCCTGGCCCTGCTGGCCCCCCTGGCTTCTCCCGGATGGGCAAGGCTGGTCCCCCAGGGCTCCCTGGCAAGGTCGGACCACCAGGGCAGCCGGGGCTTCGGGGGGAGCCAGGAATACGAGGGGACCAGGGCCTCCGGGGGCCCCCAGGACCCCCTGGCCTCCCAGGCCCCTCAGGCATTACTATCCCTGGAAAACCAGGTGCCCAGGGGGTGCCAGGGCCCCCAGGATTCCAGGGGGAACCAGGGCCCCAGGGGGAGCCTGGGCCCCCAGGTGATCGAGGCCTCAAGGGGGATCATGGAGTGGGCCAGCCCGGGCTGCCTGGGGCCCCAGGGCAGGGGGGTGCCCCTGGCCCCCCGGGCCTCCCTGGTGCAGCTGGCTTAGGCAAACCCGGTTTGGATGGGCTTCCTGGGGCCCCAGGAGACAAGGGTGAGTCTGGGCCTCCTGGAGTTCCAGGCCCCAGGGGGGAGCCAGGCGCTGTGGGCCCAAAAGGACCCCCTGGAGTAGATGGTGTGGGAGTCCCAGGGGCAGCAGGGTTGCCAGGGCCACAGGGCCCATCAGGGGCCAAAGGGGAACCAGGGACCCGGGGCCCCCCTGGGCTGATAGGCCCCACTGGCTATGGGATGCCAGGACTGCCAGGCCCCAAGGGGGACAGGGGCCCAGCTGGGGTCCCAGGGCTCTTGGGGGACAGGGGTGAGCCAGGAGAGGATGGGGAGCCAGGGGAGCAGGGCCCACAGGGTCTTGGGGGTCCCCCTGGACTTCCTGGGTCTGCAGGGCTTCCTGGCAGACGTGGCCCCCCTGGGCCTAAGGGTGAGGCAGGGCCTGGAGGACCCCCAGGAGTGCCTGGCATTCGAGGTGACCAGGGGCCTAGTGGCCTGGCTGGGAAACCAGGGCTCCCAGGTGAGAGGGGACTTCCTGGGGCCCATGGACCCCCTGGACCAACTGGGCCCAAGGGTGAGCCGGGTTTCACGGGCCGCCCTGGAGGACCAGGGGTGGCAGGAGCCCTGGGGCAGAAAGGTGACTTGGGGCTCCCTGGGCAGCCTGGCCTGAGGGGTCCCTCAGGAATCCCAGGACTCCAGGGTCCAGCTGGCCCTATTGGGCCTCAAGGTCTGCCAGGCCTGAAGGGTGAACCAGGCCTGCCAGGGCCCCCTGGAGAGGGGAAAGCAGGGGAACCTGGCACGGCTGGGCCCACGGGACCCCCAGGGGTCCCTGGCTCCCCTGGAATCACAGGCCCTCCTGGGCCTCCCGGGCCTCCGGGACCCCCTGGTGCCCCTGGGGCCTTCGATGAGACTGGCATTGCAGGCTTGCACCTGCCCAACGGCGGTGTGGAGGGCGCCGTGCTGGGCAAGGGGGGCAAGCCACAATTTGGGCTGGGTGAGCTGTCTGCCCATGCCACACCGGCCTTCACTGCAGTGCTCACCTCGCCCTTCCCTGCCTCGGGCATGCCTGTGAAATTTGACCGGACTCTCTACAATGGCCACAGCGGCTACAACCCAGCCACTGGCATCTTCACCTGCCCTGTGGGCGGCGTCTACTACTTTGCTTACCATGTGCACGTCAAGGGCACCAACGTGTGGGTGGCCCTGTACAAGAACAACGTGCCAGCCACCTATACCTACGATGAATACAAGAAGGGCTACCTGGACCAGGCATCTGGTGGGGCCGTGCTCCAGCTGCGGCCCAATGACCAGGTCTGGGTGCAGATGCCATCGGACCAGGCCAACGGCCTCTACTCCACGGAGTACATCCACTCCTCCTTTTCAGGATTCTTGCTCTGCCCCACATAACCCGCGGGGGGCCCTGCTGCCCTGGCCTCCTCCTCTTTAGTGGTAGAGCGACCTTTTCAGTTACAAAGAACCTCCATTTAAAGAAAAAAAAAACCCAAAAGCTGAACAGAGGCAGCCGTGGCCTTGGCCCGAGGAGAGTGACTTGCTTTCTCCCTGCATGCAGGTTGAGATTGTTTCTGGAAGGGGCTGGCCTGAGTTTCTTTCCCCCAAATGTCTGTGCAGTGTCAGGGTTGCACCCCATGGGCCCTGGGGTACACAGCCCAGCCCCTTGTGAGTCCTGGCCTCTGCTGGGCCCTGAACGAGCTGAGAGGGAGCTCAGCTCCCCACCCCGCCACCTGGGGAGATGGCCCTTCCCACTGGCTCCCTGATGGCACCTGCTGGAGGAATGGGGCACGGCCTCCCTCACAGCCCTTGGCTGGGACTCCTCCAGCTCCCCCTGGGACCTCCAGCATATAACAGTGGACTAAGGACTGTGGGGTTTCCCTCCAAGGGAAAGGGAGAAGAGGGGACCATTGAGGTGACGAGTGTGGACGCCCTGCCAGGACTGCAGCCCCCATGGTGATGCTGTGGCATCAGACATGTCCGTGGTGGGCACAGTGCCTGTTGCCCTGGGAAAGGGCAACCCTCTTTCACTGCTCCAGTGGCAGCCATGGGGAAGGCGGTTTGTGAGGGCTCGGGGCACAGACCTGGGGCAGGAGGCAGCTCTTCACATCCATCCCCGTTTCTCCCGGGCTGCCCCCACCAGCTTTGGCTGTTTAGCTTGAGGGCAGCACAGAGGCCCCTGGGACACCTACAGGCCAGAAAGATCAACCTCTGTGAAGTGTCTAGAAGTGTCTAGCACAGATGGTGGCAGAGGCGGAATCGACCGTGACCAAACATGAGCACTCCTCCCTTTCTCCCCTTCCACCTGCTGCGGGCTGGGCTCGTTTTCTCATACAACATTGTTAAGAGGATCTTTGCCACCCCAGCCAGGTGTCCCCAAGGCAGAGCCCTCGTTTGGCCCTCTCAACAAGGTGCATGCGAGCTGGGGGATGGACAGCTCCCACTTGCTTTTCCTTGATAAGAACCATATGGTGGGTTCATCTTTGGGGGCTTCCTCTCCTTCCACCCTCCGGTTCCAATTTCCTATTCTAAGCAGGACTAGGGCCCAGGAGGCTAAGGCTTGGAGAGAAAGGGTGCCAACAGGTCCCTTTGGAATGAGTTGGCTCTGGACGTTTCTGCCATTTTCCCCAATCAGAGCTCCTCTGCAGGAAACAGGCAGGATGCCCCTCCCAACCCCTCAGTCCCTTGTTCAAGCTGAGTGGATAAAGCTGAGATTAGCGCTGGGCGTGGCAGACATTCCTGCCCGTGCAAAGATGGCCACTTTCCCCGCAACTGCAGGGCCTCGCGCTTGGCCCTCGCCAGGCCAGCCCCACTCCCTGTACCAAGTGTGAACTGGGGTCTTTCCGTCTGTGATCTTGTTGCACTGCTCCAAGTCTGGCCATGTCCAGGCGGTCCATGTTGAAATGAAGGATGGCTGCTGACTTCTGACTGGCTGAGCAGTGGGTTCCCTCAGGCTCCTTGCCACCCCTCCTCCCCTGCCCACAATTTCTCCCAACAAAGCAGGCTGTTTGACTGCTCACTTCTTCAAAAGGAGAAATGAAAACCCAAATCTGCCCAAGTGACACTTGAAAAGGTTTTGGCTGGGGTTCCTGGTGGATTTCTTACTACCTAATGCCCAAGAGAACCAACTAAGGACTCTCAAACCATACCTGTTGGAGGTTCTTTGCTCAACCTCTTCTTCCCTAGGTCAAAGCCACTATCATCTGATGTGTTAGGGATGGGTTCTGATTGGCAGAAATTAATCAGCTCCCAATGGGAGCCCAGGGAACTAAGTAGGGTCCCAAGAAAAAAAATGGGAGCTATTTCACAGAGCTGAGCTTCTGCCGAATTTCATTCCTCAAGCCTTTCAGGAGGGGTGGTTGGCGTTTCTAAAATGTTTATGGGATTTGAGTTACAGGTGTCCACTTAACTGACTAGCTTTGATAAACAATGTCAGATTTTAACTATGAAAACGACATTACCTTGTGCATTTTTATATTCTGATTCCTTTTTTTTAAGATTAAAGTTTAAATGTTTTCCACTAGTCATTTCACTTCTAACTTGGTATAGGAAGCTTAGCTCTCTATATACCTATCATGTGCCCTGTGTCACAGAAGATTCAGGAAAAATGCACTTGGGAATCAAAGAAAATGGAAATTCTTTTTGAAAAGACAAGCAACCGTGTTAACTATATTGACACAACCTCAATAAAACCTGTTGTATAAAACAGCACTGTGCTGAAACTGGTACTGACGCAGAGGTATCTCAAGCCTCTGGGTTCTGTAAGGCGTCCAGGAAGCTCTCTGGGGCTCATGTGCCTGCTCTTAAGGATCGTGCACTCCTCACCAGCTCCCTAACCTGGATTTCTGTCACCACCACATCAGAAGTGCCTGATGCGCATAAGCTGCCAAGGCCATGCACCAGGCAAATGCCAAGAGGCATTTTAAGAAACCAAAGGCAGGTAGTGGCTGGAGCTGGGGGCGATGGTTCAATCTTTACTAGAATATTCTTGCAAGCGCTCAGGGGTAGTGGAGCATGACAGCTGGCTCAGTAGTCCAAGGGCCAAGTTTCAACATCTGATACAAATTATGAATGAAATCATGAATCTTTGCTCCTAAGGGCCGGGCTAGTGCCAGGCCCAGTGCTGAAAACAGGTTGGGGGAGCTGTCCTGGGCAAAAAGCACCTGCTCACAGCCTGCCACGCTCAGCCATGAAAGATCTGTCCTTGGCGCTGGGGCTCTGGGTGGCGGACCTGAAGCAATCCATGTTTTGAAGAGTCCTCAGCCTGGCCAGAACCCCATCTTCACTGAAACAGATCTGCCCGACAGTGCTGAAACCACAGGCCAGCTGCAGACTCCGCATGCTTGGCTAGCCACTAAGGCTGGATGCTCAGAGAATGTCCCTGGAATTTGAGGGGAGGCATCTTCTCCCTTTCAATTTTCTTTTCTTCAGAATGGATGCCAGTCCCAGATACTTGGGAGGCTAAGGTGGGAGGATCGCCTGAGCCCAGGAGTTTGAGACCAGCCTGTGCAATAGAGTGAGACCCCATCTCTAAAAACATGCTGTGTGAAACTTCCTTGCAGGGAAAGGCTTTTGACTGGTCCCAAGACACAGGAGGAGGCACTCGGCACTCACCCACCTGGGGCCTGTGATGGTGCCCTCCTCACCCAAAGGTTGGTAGTCTGACGACAGAAGGGCCCTCCGGATCCTTCTACAGGGTTCCTGTTCCTGGCCCAGCTGGGCCTAGCTCCTGTTTGGGGGAAGTCAGGCTCTGAAAACAGAAAAATCTGGCTTGTTCCTACCCGCTGACTCTGGCAAAGCACTCGGCCCAGCAGCCTGGGCCCCTCTGAGTGATCTCCAACAGGAAAAGCCACCAAACCATGCCTGCTGTGCCTTTCCTGGCTGAACACGCAGCCAGCTGGAGTGTCTGGCAACACAGCAGCTCATGGCCGTGGGGCCCCAGCTCCTATGACGGTGCAGCACACCAGAGTCACTAGTCTTCAGAAATCAGGCTGCCAGGGGAGAGTCCATTCAGGGCAGGAGAAACAGGAAACAGTGGTGAGATTTACTAGAAACTGTTTATTGCGACTTCCACTGGAAGCTGTTAATAAGCCACATGGCAGCCAAGAGCCAGGTGTGACCTAGATCAGCTGGATGCAAGTGCCTGTCCCTTCATCCACACAACCTGCTGCTCGGGGGCCCTGCCAGGATGTGCTTGCTGGTAAACTGGCTAAAACCCAACAGGGAAGAATGATGCTACTGCTCATCATTTCCACCTCCCCACATCCCATGTCCAAGACAATACAGGAAAATGCCACAAGTACCCCAAAATAAACCCGCCTGGGTCCCTCCGTCCTGCTGAGGAGCTGGGAGTGCCCTACGGCTCTGCAGCAAACCAGAGACCCAGCACCAGTGAGGCAGCAGTCCCTTGCTCACTGTTCCAGTGAAATCCCCTGAAGAGACCCCAGCCCCACTGGTGTAGTCAGTCAGCTCCACAATGCAGGGAGAGTGGGGAGCCCCACTCAAGGAAGCTCAGGGTTTCCGACTGGAGCTGTAGTTGGTCCCAGGGGACCTGGCAGAGCCCCAACAGCTGTGGCCCTCATAAACTCTTCTGGAATACACGGTGCAGGCTTTGGGCCAGGATGTCTGTCTCCTCATAGCCTTCACAGCTTTGCTGCCAGCTCTCTGGCACCTGATCCATCCCATAGTAGGCACCAGCAATGGCCCCAGCCATGGTGGCAATGGTGTCTGTGTCCCCACCAAGTGAGATGGAATAGATGAGAGTCCTTTGGAGGCTATTGAAGGCAGAGGGGATCTCAGGGTCCGGCTCCATGCAGCGCAGGAAGCAGTAGATGGCGGTGGGCACCGACTCAAAAGCAGCAATGCCATTCCCTGTGGGGAAGCCACATTAGAGGGGCTCCATGCATCCCCAGGCCTCCTGCCATTTGACACAAGTCAGCACTCTTGGCTTCAAGCAGGCTGTGACTAAGATCTCAGGCTCTACAGTTAGACCACCTGGGCTCAAATCCTGGCTCCACCACATACTGGCTGCGTGACTGGGAGAGTTACCTAGGGGACCGCTAAGCTTCCTGCTCTCAGATTCAACTCCTTAAGCAGACAGGGAGTAACGTTAGTAACTCTCTGACAGGGCTGTTGTGAGGATGAAGCAAGATCATGTCTGGGAAGCATTCTGCACAGCGCCCAGTACAGATGCTAGATAAATAAAATCCACTATCGACATTTTTACGACGAGTGGCCAGCTGCCATTTCTGGGGACACTGATCCACAAGGCTGAGGGTGCTGTAGCTTCGGAGCAAGAAGCGCTGAGCTCAACCCTGCCATGACTCTGTGTGTCACAGCAGTCCAGGGTACAGTGTGACGGCAGGCAAGACTCCATGCTCCCCTGAGCCCAAGACCGACCCTGAAGGATGACAGAGGCGGAGACAATCCCAGGCAGGCCCACTCACCTAGCTCAGACACCACTTCCTCCCTGGTCACTGATGCCTGGTCTAGAAGCTCCCCAATCTTCTTCAGGCGGCTAGAGTACGGATGCTCCTCCATGCCCAACCTGTGGGTTTGGGGAGAGATTTCAGGGAGGTCAAAGCAAGCAGGGTGGCGGTGCGGGCAGGGGAGAGGGCTGCATGTGAGAACGAGCAGGGATGTGGTCAGGCTGCCAGCCAGGCACAGGTGCCCTGACAAGAGGTGGGAGAGGGCTGGGGGTGAGCAGGTCGTTTTGTTCTCTGGGACCCTGAGAGCCTTGAAACATATGGATGATGAAGGGGCTTCTGCCCATGCCTCCCTAGGGTCTGCAATTAAGGAAGGTAGGTTTCGGTTTATGGCAATGCCAGAGGCCCCCTGGATCACCCACATCCCCACACCACACACCTCCAGCCCCATACTCACTCCCTGGCATCCAAGACAGACTGGGCATCCCCCTCCAGCTCCTCCATGTGGCCCAGGAGTTGCTTGAGAAAGTGCTTGCTGGAAGACTCGCCCTGCAAGGCCAGGTGCACAGCCAGGGCCTGCAGGATGGCGCCATTGTAACCCAGGGAGGAGGCGTGTGTCAGCTGGGCCGAGAGCCGGGCAAACTAGAGAGGAGGAGACCTGCTGTCACAGAAGCCCTGCTGCAGAAGAGGAAGGGGACAGCCCAGAAGCCAGCCCGCCCTGAATACCTTCTGCACATCCTGGACACTGCTATAGGCCAGGGAGATACCAGCTACCCGCATGGCACCTCCATTGCCATAGGAGCCTTTCCCGTTAAACTGGGCCCGGGCAGGCTCAAAGACATCACGACATTTGGGGTTCAGGAGCTTCTTGAAGACAGTGACTACTCCAGCACCATAGCCCCTGTCAGGGTCTTTCTTGTACTCCTGAGCAAATCTAGGGAACAGAAAGGGAGACAGAATTGGGTTTTACAAGATGCCTCTAAGGGTTGGGAGAGAAGAAATCGAGGCTGGTTTGGAAAAAGAGAAAGCCTTGGGGGCCTAAGGAGCCTGCACCAGCAGTGCTGCTGTTTTAGCTTGGGAAGCTGTGCCAGCCAGACACAGGCTCCTGTGGAGGGTGGGGGGCGCGGGCATGCACAGATGTCATTCCTCTGGTCAAGGGGTGCAATAACTTTGCCCACCTGGTTTGCCTCAGCCCAGGACCATCCCCCTCACCTGTGAGCCATGTCCACCTCGTCAAAGGCCTCCTTGGCTAGCAGGGACTGCACCAGGGCCCTGGCCATGGCTGTGTCATCTGTGTAGTACAAGGCTTCTGTGGGGAGAGGAGGGAGGGTGAGAGCCTCCTGCTCACCTTTTTAAAATTTGGAGACAGGGTCTCACTCTGTTGCCCAGACTGGAGTGCACTGGTGCAATCATGGTTCACTGCAGTCTTGAACTCCTGGCCTCAAGCTATCCTCCTGCCTCAGCCTCTCAAGTAGCTGGAACTATAGGCATGCATCATCACAGCCAGCTACTTTTATTTTTTGTAGAGACAGGGTCTCACTCTGTTGTCCAGACTGGTCTTGAATTCCTGGGCTCAAGCAATCCTCCTGCCTTGGCCTCCCAAACAGCTGGGATTATAGGCATGAGCCATTGTGCCTGGCTCTGCTCACCTTTTATTTTAGTTTATATTATTTTATTATTTTTTTGGTACAGGGTCTCACTCTGTTGCCTAGGCTGCAGTGCAGTGGTACGATCATGGCTCACTCCAGTCTCGACCTCCCAGGCTCAAGGAGCCTCTTGCCCCAGCCTCCCGAGTAACTGGGACTACAGGTGCACACCACCACGCTTGTTTGGTTTTTTTTTGCCAGGTTGGTCTCAAACTCTTGGGCTCAAGTGGCCTCTCCCAAAGCGCTGGGATTACAGTTGTGGCTACGGCACCCAGCCCCTACTCATGATTTAGTGTTACCACATCTAAAATGACCTTAAGTCAGTTTCTCACTCCCATTCACTTTCCTGGGCCTGGGAAACCTTAGCATCTCAGCATTGGGATTTTCAGCAATTCTTTATTCCAAGTCAGTCACCATGTCCTACTGCTATTTTATGTATTTATTTATTATCAGCCTACGTCATGCTTTGATCTGCTGATTTCTGAAGGAAAACTTCCATCCCCTTGGGGTTGCCATCCTTGCAGCTCCAGTCTATTTGTTTTTCTTTTTTATAGTCAGGATCTTGCCATGTTGCCCAGGCTAGTCTCAAACTCCTGGGCTTAAGCGAAGATCCTTCCACCTTAGTCTCTGGAGTAGCTGCATTACAGGTTGTGTGCCACCATGCCCAGATTGAAAATGATAGTTTCTGGATCCAGATACCCCCCTACTTCACTCCTCTGTAGCACACCACCAGTGACCAGTGTCTTCATCTTGAAATTCTTTCCCTAGGTTTCGTTGATAGGCACTCCTGCTCCTCCTCCTCCTATCAAACTGTTTCCTTCCCTAACCCCCTTCCCTCCCTCTCTCCCTCTTAATTACCGGTGTTCTCCAGGGTTCTGACTATGGCCCTTTCTTCTCACTATGCTACCTGCTCTCCAGGAAGATTCACCTTCTCTGCTTGACCTCACACCTGCTACCTGAGCCGGGATCTGAGCGCACAACGGAAGTTAGTTTTACAGGCGAGACAGCACATGCAAACTCCTGGCCTAGGGGAAAGCATGGTGTGAGGAACCGAAGAGCAGAAAGCAAGGCCAAGGTTGGTGGAAGACCAAACTGCAGACGTGCGGGAGGGCTGGACCATGTCGGACACGTTAAGGAATGCAGCTCTGAACTAAGGGTAACGGGAAATCACAGCAGGGTTTTAGGCGGGGGAGGAAGCGATTACAGTAAGGCTTCCAAAGCACGCCCAGCGGGGTGGAGAACGGGCTGGTGGTGTACTGACTCTAGAGAATCGGGAAAAACAGGTCAAGTCGGCAAGGGTGGACAGGCAGTCCCCGGCTTAGGATGGTTCAACTTAAGTTTTTTTCGGCTTTCCGATAACGCTGATACGCATTCAATAGGCTCCTAGACGTCCGATAGGGCTGCGTCCAGATAAAACAGTCGTCTAAGCTGAAAGCGCACTTTCCACTTCAGGTATTTTCAACTTACGATGGGTTTATCCACACCCTGCACGGTTGAGGCCCCGGTGCTGCCACGCCCCGAGCACGGGATGTTCGGGGCGAGACGTCTAAGGCCGGAGATTGCGCTAGCACTCGCTGAGCCCAAGCTGTCTGCGGGTCATCCGGCTCCGGCCCCGGTGCCCTCGACAGTCTCATCCCCACGCACCCCCGAACCGTCGCCCCCGGAGGCTCCGCGCCCCTTCGGTCTCCCACTCGCACGGCCTCTGACGTGCGCCCGGCCCCGCCCACCTGTCCGCTCACTCCCGGGCGTGCCGGGGTCCGGCTCCAGGCTCTGGACATGACGCAGGACTGACGTCAGCTCGACGGTGTCGTGGGCCTCGTAGAAGGAGCCCACGCAGTCCCCGAGCAGCGCGCCAGCCAGGCAGCCACGGAAGCGTGAGAGAGAGCGGGCCGCGCCAGCCCCTCCGCCGCCAGCTACTGCCATCGCCGCCGCCGCCATCCGCGCGCAGGCCGTTCGCCACTTCCGGTGCCACCCTCGCAGCTTCCCTACTCCCATCCCGCAGCACTCCCCGGGGCCTAGAGTCACCGCTCCGCCGCCCGACCCACAGCGCCGCCCAGCGGCCCGGAGTCTCGGCGCCGCGCAGCTCCCGCCAGCCTGTGCTTTGAGTCCCCGTTCTTCCCGCTCCTCACTACTGGGCTAACTGGATGGGAAGGCCGCTATGGGGTCCCTGGGCGATGGGCACTGAGCCGGACCACTGGATCACTTCAGGCCACTGCCTTCTGCAGGCGAGCACCCCTAACTCCGCACCCCCAGCCGGCCCTCTCCACCGAGGCCAGGACCACCCCCAAGCCCTCCCACCAGGCCCTTGCCCGCTGTGGGCCTCCCTTAAGCATCAAGAGGGCGGACCAGGGGCCAGCTGGGGCACAGCCAGGTAGAGGCTGCGCTGCTGGAGCCCAGGAGTGCTGGCCCAGCCCAGAGAGGGGTTCCTTGAGGGGAGGGGAAAGATTGGGATTTGGTACATGGAGTGCGGGGGAATGGTGTTCCCCGTCTTTACTCCTCCATAGACAGGAGGGTGTCCAAGAACCCTCTCCCTGCTGGCTACCTACAGTGGGGCAGAGAACAGCCGGCCTGAGATCCTCTGCATTTATTCCATTCATTCTCTCCTCCCCCCTTCCATTGCCCACCCAACCCTGCCCTCCTCCCGTAGTCCTCCAAGGCTAGGCCAGCTCCAGCTGGCAGCTTTTGAGTGGACTCAGGGTGCTATTTGTGGTACGTGTGAAGGTGTCCACCTCAGGCACGAACTTCTCAGCGGGCACGGTCAGCTTGCGCCGCGTGTCCATGCACTTGGTGTCCAGCAGCATGGAGTTGGCCTTGCAGGCAATGTCAGCCTGCAGCCGGGCCAGGTGCTTGTACAGGGCGTCCAGTGCGTCCCTAGGGAAGGGCATTGACAACCCCCAGCCCCCATGAGGCTGGGAGGCCTGGGCTGAGTGCACAGCCTTTAGTCAGGAAGACAGCCCCAGGGAGCCAGCAGGCAGCAAGAGGCCCCACTGCTGGGCATCGTCTCACTGCTCCTCCCACCCACTCCCAACACCTACTGTGCTTGTGCCAGCTTCTGCTTCAGGGCAGCGATGGTTTCCTCTAGCTGGTGAACCTCGTCAGTGAGGCCATACTGTGCCTGCAGGCAGAGGGGTTGGGAGTTCCAAGTCAGCCACACTGTCCTTTACCTGAGTGCTGCCCCGTGACAGCAGTGCCCTTGCTCCATCAGGAATATGAGAAAACCTTGGCCAGGGGGCCCGTGCCCCCACTGGGACCCCCTCTCACCTGGTCCCGGCAGAGTTCCACATTGGGCCGGTAGGTTCTGGCCTCTAGCCGGGTATGGGACAGCTTCAGGCTCAGGAACTTTGTACGCAGATCCTCCTCCAGGTGCCGGATGTCCTCCTGCAGCTCAGCGATCTCCTCCAAGGTCTGCAGGGGACAGAGTGACTGGTTTCCACCTGCTGGACTCACCGTACACGCCTGATCCAGTGCCTCCTGGCGGGGGCATGCGGCTCCTCATCCCACAGCAGGAAGTCCATGCCCTGGGAGACGCTCACATTCTTCTCTTGCCACTTGAGCTCACTGTACACTTTCTCCATCTCCCGCAGCCGCTTCCTGAAGGCAAATTCCGTTGCAACTCTCTGGGCTTCAAGCTCGTTGTTGGTCTGAAGGAGAAAACACAGGGCAAGGGAAGGATCTATACTCACGGCTGCCTGAGGATATTACTCAAGCGAGGGGCAGGGGGCCACATGCACAGCAGGGAACAGAAGATAAGGGCTGAGCACACACTGGGGCCATCCATTAGCTGTGGGTGGCCCGTCACCTCAGCAATAGTTAGAGCAATGGCCTCCCTCAGCTCCGTGGCTGCCTTCATCTCAGCCTCCCCTCGGTCCTTGTTGAACTGACTGAAGTCATCCCACTGCTGGAGTGTGGTGGAGCTGCAGGTGGCAGGAAAAATGGAGGTCATGAGGGTGTGGCCTGGGAGGGGAGGAGAAGAGACTGGCTGAAACATTCTTCTTACCCATCAGGGACACGTGTGGGGTCGACCTTCAGCGAGATGTTTGGGGATCTGAGGTTGAGAGAGAGACAGCCTCTGTCGATCTCCAGTGTCTCCATTTTGCCCCTATGGTCGGAGTTGAGCTGCTGTCGGACTTCCTGCAGGAGGCTGGGGAAAGCGCAGACTCCATCAGGACCATCCCCCAAGGCCCAGAGGCAGGCCTCACCGTATGAAGGGAACACTGCGGGAAGAGGAGGCTGGGATGACCCTTCCCAGCAGAAGACAATGGAGCTGCAACTGCGGAGACCAAGAGCAGCACAGCTGGATGAAAATGCTGCCCCCATGCGCCTACACACCCGTGGGGCACACGGATGTAGCTGTGCTCACAAAGGCTCATACGCACACACTCACAGGAGCTACTCAGGGGTGGTGGCAAATGCGTGTCACCTCTCATGCTTCCAATCGGTGGTACTGGCTGTCCAGGGCAGGGTGGTGAGAAGTATTCCGAGCCCATGTCCAGGCAGTGGGAAAAGTGCTACCATTGATGAGTGGTTTCTGTCACAGGCACCAGAGGGCCAAAATGTAGCACGAGAGCCAGTTGCTCCTCATTCACAATATCTGTGTTCCACATTGAAGGCACACAGCCTCCAGGGGCTTGTGAACATACGGACGACCTGCCTCTCCCTTACCACAGCTGCTCGAAGGCCTGGCTGACCTTCTGTTGCAAGGCCTTCTTGGTGGCCTCGATGACCTCCACCTCTTTATGCAGCTCATCCTCCACAGGGTCCTTCACCACATCAATGTCTCGCCGGCTTTCCCGCAGGGTCAGGCACTCAATGGCCACATCCAGAGGTAGGTTCTTGGCCTGCAGGTTTTGCTCTGCTGAATCCTTCATCTAGAAAAGAGGGCGCGGCCGGGCATGGTGGTTCACGTCTGTAATCCCAGCACTTTGGGAGGCCGAGTCGGGTGGATCACTTGAGGTCAGGAGTTTGAGAACAGCCTGGCCAAAATGGTGAGACCCTGTTTCTACTAAAAATACAAAAATTAGCTGGGAATGATGGCGCACGCCTGTAGTCACAGCTACTTTACTCAGGAGGCTGAGGCAGGAGAATCGCTTGAGCCCAGGAGGCGGAGGTTGCAGTGAGCTGCGATCGCACCGCTGCACTCCAGCCTGGGCAACAGATCCAGACGCCGTCTCAAAGAAAAAAAGAAAAAAGAAAAGAAAAAGAAAAGAAGGGGCAGGAGGGCTGGTGGAGCCATCCATGGGGAAGTAGCACTTGTCCCCACTTTAGCAGGGAGCCAGTGACTCGGATGGACACGCCACTCATGACCCCCCATCAAGGGTTTCTCAACCCAGCCGTGGGGAAGGGGGGGGAGGTTTTGGCAGCAGCCCCCAGGCACCCAGTCCTGGCTTCCTGCCTGTGTCAGGGCGTCGATCTCGGCATCTAAATCTGTCAGACACTTGTCCAGCATCTCCTTCCACCGGTTGACAGTATCAATCCTCTCCACCAGTCGAGTCCTGTTGTCATGTTCATCCCAAATGGTCTGAGAGAGACAGGGCCAGATAAATAGGGTGTCACAGGGTTGGGGGCTATCCCTTTGCCCACCCAGCTGAGTTCCCGACACCAACCTGGTTGTTGGTCTCATTGCGGAGCACCCGGGCCTCCTGGCGGATCTGATGGGAAGCATCTCGCTGCAGCTGGGCATTGGTGGATAGCAGGTAGCTGTTAGTGTGCCAGTCGGGCAGCTGGAAGCGCTGACTTGGCTTGACGCTCAGCGTGGCCATGGCACAGAAACCAGAAGGGTCAGAAACCCCTAGGCCTGTTCACAGACACCACCTGCAGGCAAAACACGGCTGTGGGAGACCTTTCAGGAGAGGTCTCCTGGATCACACGCCCCCTAGGCAGAACTTGTTCCTGTCCATTTTGCTCTGAGCCCCCTCCTGCTGGAAGCCTGCTTGGAGACAGCCCTTGCTTTGCTCAACTTTGTGTGAGGCATTAAGTAAGTTTCCCTCCCTCCTGTCCCGGGGCGGACACAAACCCCTGGACCTTGCAGGTCCTGGAGCAGGTAAAAAGGAATAATGATGGAGTCCCGGAAGCCTCGAAGTGTGTGTGAAATGCCAAATGCCTTGGGGTGGGGGTGGGGGGGTAGGAGGATGTCAGAAAAAAATAGCCCTAATGCAGTTTCCACACCTGCCACCAGCCAACCATGCCTTGTTGAGCTTCCTTTCCTTTCTTCCCCACGCTGCGGGCCAGGCCCCGTGGGGGATCTAAGGGCAGGAGCCCTGTTCTCTCTCTAGGGACGCGTGCCTGTTGGCACTGGGGAGCTGGGGGGCGGCCCCCTCCCCGTCTGGTAGCCGCCACGCGCTCCTGCCCCTTCGCCCTCGCCTACTGTTGGAGCGGGAGGCGGGACGGGGAGGGCCCCGTGGGAGGGGCTGGGGTCAGGCCGGTTCCCCGCCGAACCGCTTTCTTCCCCTCCGCAGGATGATCGCCTTTGATTTAGATCAGTACCCCGGTCCGGCGCGGAGGAAGGGGGCGCCCCCGCTCTCCTGGCTACCTTACCTACTTTCCTGCTTCGCTCTCCGCGCCCCCCGCTCTGAGCGCCAATGTTTGGCACCCCCGGTTGCTAGGCAACCACCCCTCCCCCCCGCGGCCTACTTGGCCTGGGTGCTTCGCTTGGCAACCGCGGCGGCCTAGGGCGGCGTCCCCGGAGGCCTTTAGGGTAGGCGAGGGGCGGCCGGCAGAGCCTGAGAGAGGTGGGGGGCATCAGCGCAGCGCTTTCACTTGATTTACAAATTAAATGAACATTTGTTGTTTTCTCAGACAGGGTCTCGCTGGGTCGCCCAGGCTGGAGTGCTGTGGCTCAGTCTCGGCTCACTGCAACCTGGATCTCCCAGGCTGAAGCGATTCTCCCACCTCGGCCTCCCGAGTTAGCTGGGACCACAGGCGCATGCCACCACTCCCGGCTAAATTTTAAAAAAAATTTTAGTAGAAACGGGGTTTCACCATGTTGCCCAGGCTGATCTCAAACTCCTGGCCCCAGGCGATCCGCCCATCATGGCTCCCAAAGGGCTGGGATTACAAATGTGAGCCACTGCCTGGGCCTAAACATTTTTATTTTGATAAAGGTATGCATAGACATGATAGAAAATATGAAACCGGGCGCAGTGGCTCACGCTTGTAATCCCAGCTACTCCAGAGGCCCAGGCGGGAGGATTGCTTGAGGCTAGGAGTTCGAGGTCAGCCTCAGAAACAGTGGTTGCCACCAAACGAACAGCACATAGAAAAAGTAGGCCGGGAGCAGCAACTCAGGCCTGCAATCCCAGCATTTTGGGAGGCCGAGACCAGGTGGATTGCTTGAGTCCAGGAGTTGGAGACCAGCCTGGGCAACATGGCGAAATCCCATCTTTACAAAAGATACAAAATTTGGCCAGGCACAGTGGCTCACGCTTGTAATCCCAGCACTTTGGGAGACAGGCAGGTGGATCACCTGAGGTCAGGAGTTCGAGACCAGCCAGCCTGGCCAATGTAGTAAAAACCTGTTTCTACTAAAAATACAAAAATTAGCTGGGCGTGGTGGCAGGTGACTGTAATCCCACCTACTTGGGAGGCTGAGGCAGGAGAATCGCTTGAACCCAGGAGGCAGAGGTTACAGTGAGCCGAGATTGTGCCATTGCACTCCAGCCTGTGTGACAAGAGTGAAAAAAAAATTACAAAAATTAGCCAAGTATGGTGGTGTGCACCTGTAATCTCAGCTACTAGGGAGGCTGAGGCAGGAGAATCGCTTGAGCCTGGAGGCAGAGGTTGCAGTGAGCCGAGATCGTGCCACTGCATTCCAGCCTGGGTGACAGAGTGAGACTATGTCTCAAAAATAAATAAATTAATTAAAATTAAAATCAGGTGCACTCCCCAGCAGGTCCCCTCCAGCAATGGACATATAGTTAATGTTGTTTGCAACAGTTCTTCTATTCGGTCCTGCCCAACAACTTTGCCCATCTTGAAGGTCATACAAGGAATGACCAAGGGATGATAATCATGTTTGGAGAGGGCACAACCCTGAGAGAGGTAACTGGGGTATGAGAAGCAATGCTCTAGTGGCACGCACCTATAATCTCAGCTACTCGGGAGGCTGAGGCAGGAGAATTACTTGATCCTGGGAGACAGAGGTTGAAATGAGCTGAGATCGCGCCCCTGCACTCCAGCCTGGGAACAGAATGAGAATCTGTCTCAAAAAACAAAACAAAACACAAAAAAACAGAGAAGCAATGCTCAATATTCAACCATTTCTTTAAAAAAAGAGAGAAGGGAAAAAAAAATGTGTCTTATGTCTAGTACTGTTCTAGGGGTTGGAAAAATATTAACATTTAATCTTCACAACTAATAGGTGAGGTGGGCACTGTCCCTACTTTCTTAGGTAACAAAAGAGACACACTGCTAAAAAGCAGGGAGGGAAATCCAGGTGTTCTGGGCCCACCCAGAGGACCCTCTGCTGTGCTCCACACTGCCTCTCGTGGGGTGCTGGGATAGAGAGGAAGACAGGTGTGCAGGCCTGGTCCTGTTCTGAGGGCTTTGCTGAACCAGATCCTATGAGGTGGGTACTGTTACCATCTTCACTTTACAGGCAGGGAGACTGAGGCACAGGCCAGTGAGGACGTGCCCAGGTCACATCACTAACAAGTGGTACAGCCTGGATTGAAACCCAGGCAGATGGGCCCAGGGGCCAAGCTCAGGTTTAATGGATGAGAGAAAGAAGTCCCAGAAGGGTCCATCAGTTGTTAAACATCATTGGAGGGATGGGAAGAACGGTAGAGAACCAAGGGCTTGGTAGGCAATTGAGGGATGAGGTTGGCTTTTGAGCAGTTTGAATGTGTTCGCAGTGGATCCAGCTGCTGCCCGGCAGGCATTTAGGTTTTTGTTTTGTTTTGTTTTGACAGAGTCTTGCTCTGTTGCCCAGGCTGGAGTGCAGTGGCACGATCTTGGCTCACTGCAACCTCCCTTCCTGGGTTCAAGTGATTCTCCTGCTTCAGCCTCCTGCTTCAGCCTCCCTCTCCTGGGACTACAGGCATGCGCCAACACACTTGGCTAATTTTTATATTTTTAGTAGAGATGGGGTTTCACCATGTTGGCCAGGCTGTTCTCAAACTCCTGAACTCAGGTGATCTGCCTGGCTTGGTCTCCCAAAGTACTGGGATTACAGGCGTGAGCCACCGTGCCCGGCCTGATTTGTTAATTGCAAGTCATTCAGCAGGACTGAAGCCAGAACACTATTTCCCAAACTCCTTTCATTACAGGGTATGTTTTTCCACAGGTTGTTTTGTAAACTCTCATATATGACTTGTAAACTGGACATGAACAAGAATTTGTGATATAGCCTCTTTACCAGGATTGAAGAAGACAGAAAGAAAAAAATCTTTGACAAATTAATTGCAGGAAGAAATTATCACATTTTGGCTTACATATTTTGCAACAGCGGTATAACACAAAGAAGTAAGCAAATATGGCAGAAGTGTGGCGCCTTTGGTGTCTACTTTTGACCATAGTGGTGGCCCTGGTATTCGTGGCTCCCGGGACTCCTACACATCCTGCCCGATGGAAGAAGGTGTTGGCCAAAAAGGTCAGCCAGCTGATGGATTGGACCAAGAAAGACAGAGTGATAAGAATGAGTGACACCATGTTCTATCATTTTGTATTAGATGCACCAAAAAACTATTCTGTTATTGTGATGCTTACTGCTCTCCACGAGTTCAATTCATGTGTCATGTGCAAAGGTGCTGCCGAAGAATTTCAGATCTTGGCAAACTCCTATCAAGGCCCTGGTGCATTCACCACAAAGGTATTTTTTGCAATGGTGGATTATGATGAAAGCCCTGAGGTCTTTGAAGTGCTCCAGGTGACGTCAGTTCCGAGTTTCTTCCACTTTTCTGCCCAGTGGAAATTTACAACAGATGACATTTATAATTTGAGAGGAAGGGATATCGTTGCTGACCAAATGGCTGAATGGGTAGCAGAGAGAACACATGTCAGCGTCAGAATCAGACAGCCTACAAATTATGATGGTCTCCTCAAGCTGGGGACACTTTTGGCTCTCACTGGTGGACTTGGGTATTTCTTGAAATGGAATAGGAAATCTATTTCTTGCAGAATCTTGTGCGAAGTTTTAACTCTGTGCTTTGTGATTGTGATGACGTCTGGTCAAATGTGGACTTACATAAGAGGAGAACCATATGTCCAAAGGGACCCTCGCACAGGACATAAGCATTATATCAGCAAATTTAGTCAGGCTCAGTTTGCAGCAGAAACATTCATTATTTCCCTGTTTAATATGTGTGTTACCCTGGGAGTGGTGCTGTTAGATAAGGCTGCCACCTCGACGATGAACATCATAAAGAGAAAGATGATGTGTCTGGCTGGTATGTGTCTTGTTGCCATATTCTTCAGTTGGCTGCTTTCCCTCTTTAGATTTAAAGTACCTGACTATCCATACAGGTTTCTCTGGGATTAAAAAGGATCCTACAGATATAGACAATGAAGCAAGAAATTTGGGAAAAAAAAAAAGTGAAGCAGAAAAATGTAAACTCATAACTTTTTAAAGTAATTGAGATTTCACCAAAAGAGACCATAAGTGCCTTCAGTGCTTTCAAAATCTGTGAAGTATTATAGTTTGTGTCTTCTCTGTTCTTAATTTTTCTCCCCCAGTGTTATAGATTACTTCAAGTTGAATTATTAAAATCTTTAGAGAGTACAACTTTCATCGAATCAGGACAATGTTTTACAATGTTTAAAAGTACTTCAGTTAATATTAATACTTGGTTAGCTGATTTTATTCTAATACGAAAAATAATCTTTTTTCTTTTTTCTTTTTTGACATGGAGTCTCGCTCTGTTGCCCAGGCTGGAGTGCAGTGGCGCGATCTTGGCTCAGTGCAAGCTCCGCCTCCCAGGTTCACGCCATTCTCCTGCCTCAGCCTCCCAAGCAGCTGGGAATACAGGCGCCTGCCAATGCGCCTGGATAATTTTTTGTATTTTTAGTAGAGATGGGGTTTCACCATGTTAGCCAGGATGGTCTCGATCTTCTGACCTCGTGATCCGCCCGCCTCGGCCTCCCAAAGTGCTGGGATTACAGGTGTGAGCCACCGCGCCCAGCCAAAAAATAATCTTTTTTCTTTTTCTTTTGAGGCACGGTCTCCCTCTGTTACTCAGACTGGAGATCAGTGACACAATCTCCGTTCACTGCAACCTCCGCCTCCTGGGTTCAAGTGATTCTTCTGCCTCAGCCTCTTGAGTAGCTGGGATTACAGGCGTGTGCCACCACGCCCGGCTACTTTTACGTATTTTTAGTAAGGACGGGGTTTTGCCATGTTGGCCAGGCTGGTCTTGAACTCCTGACCTCAAGTGATCCGCCCCTCTTGGCCTCCCAAAGTGCTGGGATTACAGGCATGAACCACTGTACTCAGCTGAAAAATAGTATCTTGACAAGGTATTCTCACACCTGGCCACTGAAGATAATTATTATCCCTCCATGGCAGTGTACATTTGCAGTCTGTTTTGTGGGTGGAGAGAGCAGTTGTATTATGTTGTCCCCCGAAGTTTAAATACCTATGTTTAGAGTACACTTCCAAAGCTCAGAGGCAGATACATACTTCTTAGTACTACTACATATCCGTCTCTTCTACTGGAATACACCAGTATGTTTCTTTTTTTTTGGCTGTTTTTTTCTTTTACCATGCTTTTTTTTTTTTTTTTCCTTTTTCTTTTTTCTCAAGATGGAGTTTCACTCTGTCCCCCAGGCTGGAGTGCAGTGAATGGCGTGATCTCAGCTCACCGCAACCTCCGCCTCCCAGGTTCAAGTGATTCTCCCACCTCAGCTTCCCAAGTAGCTGGGATTACAGGCGCACGGCACCAAGCCCAGCTGATTTTTGTATTTTTAGTAGAGATGGGGTTTCACCATGTTGGCCGGGCTGGTGTTGAACTCCTGACCTCAGGTGATCCGCCTGCCTCAGTCTCCCAAAGTGCTGGGATTATAGGCGTGAGCCACCGCACCCGGCCCTTTAACTATGCTTCCTGATAGTTGTAGAAATTATAAACCAGTTAAACACCAGATTACAATTTATCTTTGATTATTAATTACCTTTTATCTGGAAAGATTTCAGATATCTTTCCTTGTTTTTCTTTCATGGGGCCAATCTCTAACAAAATAGTATTTCCTATTTCTGTGTTGACTTTGTTGACTTGAGGTTGTTTTCCATTTACTTTAAATCTAAGAGAAAAATAGGTATAAAGACATTTGAGAAGATAAATAATAATTTCATTCACCCATTCTATTTAGGAGCCTGCTAAAATATCAAGTCATTTCCAAGATGCAGAAACACAAAACTGAACACCCTAATAGTATTTTTGTAATTTTAGTAAAATCTGTTCCATTTCAGCCTTTCTTCCCTCTTAGTGGAAAAACGAGGTACAAATTTAAAGATGTTTTCCCCTTTTATCCTCCTTCTGTAATATGTTGATAAAGTCCTAAACATCTTACTAACATGCTTGGCAAATAACAGCAAAGATTTAAGTGGAGGATTTTTTTTTTTTCCTTATTTATTTATTGAGATAGTCTTGCTCTGTGGCCCAGGCTGGAGTGCAGTGGTGTGATCTCGGCTCACTGCAACCCCTGCCTTTGCCTTCAAGTGATTGTTGCCTCAGCCTCCCGAGTAGCTGGGATTACAGGCGCCTGCCACCGCGCGCAGCTAATCTTTGTATTTTTAGTAGAAACGAGGTTTTACCACGTTGACTAGGCTGGTCTCGAACTCCTGATCTCAGGTGATCCACCCACCTTGGCCTCCCAAAGTGCTGTGATTACAGGCGTGAGCCATCTGCTGGCCTGTTATTTATTTATTTATTTTGAGATGAAGTTTCGCTGTTGTCGCCCAGGCTGGAGTGCAGTGGTGCGACCTCAGCTCATTGCAACCTCTGCCTCCCGGGTTCAAGTGATTCTCCTGCCTCAGTCTCCAGAGTAGCTGGGATTACAGGTGACCGCCACCACTCCCGGCTAATTTTTGTATGTCTAGTAGAGATGGGGTTTCACCATGTTGACCAGGCTGGTCTTGAACTTCTGACCTCAGATGATCCACCTGCCTTGGCCTCCCAAAGTGTTGGGATTACAGGTGTGAGCTACTGTGCCCGGCCCCGGCCTGTTGTTATTTTTAAGACAGAGTCTCACTGTGTCGTTGCCCAGGCTGCAGTGCAGTGGTGTGATCTTGGCTCACTGCAACCTCTGCCTCCAGGGCTCAAACAATTCTCCTGCCTCAGTCTCCCTAGTAGCTGAGGTTACAGGTGTGCACCACCATGCCCAGCTAATTTTTTTGTATTTTTAGTAGAGATAGGTTTCACCATGTTGGCCAGGCTGGTCTCGAACTCCTGGCCCCAAGTGATCTGCCCACCTTGGCCTCCCAAAGTGCTGGGATTATGAGCTGGGCATGAGGCACGAGGTTTGTTATTAAATCAAACTCCACCCTTCTCTCTGGAAATTGCCATTTTAGAAATGTGAGAACTGTGATTGTGAAAATGTTTTTCAAGTAACAACAATATAATGTCACATTAGAAGGATTCTGTCTTAAATTGGGACTGGCTTGGCTATTTACAGTCAAGTAACCCTCTTTCAAGGTCTGGTAGAATATTTGAAGGTTTTATGTGAGTGTTTGCCAAGGGAGTTGAGTTTAATGGCCCAGAGTAAATTATGCTTAATATTTTTAGAAGGAGGTGACTGGGAACAGTTGACCTCTCTCACAGCCATTTTTTATTGTTCATTACTCCAGAGGAAACTGCTTGCCTTTGACCTTTTTTCCAGCTTGCTTTTCTGCTGGTCCTGTACTTGTCTCAGGCCAAAGAAATTCGTGTTGAGATTGTCAAGGCTGAGATTTGGGTGAGGCTAACTCGTTTTGCACAGCATACTCGTCAGAGAAATAACGGCCTACTTCAACTACACAGCTGCAGATGATTTGCCCTGGAGGTTAAAACAATGATTCCTACCACCCGGATCTGCCCTTCTTATCTTCAAAACCCACTCTGTTTCCATAAGAAAGAAAAGTCTCCAGGGTAAAATAAATGGCAAGTAACTTTGCTGCATTCAGTAAAGTGATATACTTTTGTGCAGATTTTCAAATTAATATCTAAAGAATCTTAGACAACAGTAATAATTTTATGGTCTAGATAGCACCTATGAATATGTAGTTTTCAATACTATTCAAAGGGATACCACAGATGGCAAACTTTCTTAGTCTAAAATCTTTATACAAGCACAAATATAAATAGGAAAAAATTAAGATTAAGCTTACAAAACAAAATATAAAAAATAAAAAATATAAAAAGATGGTTAATTTTTTTTTTTTGAGATGGAGTCAGTCTTGCTCTGTCGCCAGGCTGGAGTGCAGTGGCCGGATCTCGGCTCACTGCAAGCTTCGCCTCCTGGGTTTACGCCATTCTCCTGCCTCAGCCTCCCAAGTAGCTGGGACTACAGGCACCCGCCACCTCGCCCAGCTAGTTTTTTGTATTTTTTAGTAGAGACGGGGTTTCACCGTGTTAGCCAGGATGGTCTTGATCTCCTGACCTCGTGATCCGCCCGTCTTGGCCTCCCAAAGTGCTGGGATTACAGGCTTGAGCCACCGCGCCCGGCTCATTTTTTTTTTTTTAACAGAGTCTCGCTCTGTCTCCCGCCTCGGCCTCCCAAGTGCTGGGATTACAGATGTGAGCCACAATGCCTGGCCAGTTAATCTTAATTTTACATCTGTATAAAATACATGTGAAAGCCATCTGAGTGATGGTGCTGACTGAAATCCTGTCTGGTGCAGCATGAGACCATTCCTATGTTCTGTTTTATTGTTTTTGTTTTGGAAGACAATATGCAAATTCTGTTTAGCAACATAGTTACAGTAAAGGAAGAGTAATATTATACATTTAATAGTTTCAAGTGCTTTTGTTTTGTTTTTGTTTTTGACACTGGGTCTCACTCTGTCACCCAGGTTTAAGTGTAGTGGCATGATCATGGCTCACAGCAGCCTCCATGTCCTGAGCTCAAGTGATCCTCCCACCTCAGTCTCCCATGTAGCTGGGACTACAGGAGCATGTCACCATGCCTGGCTAATTTTTGTAGTTTTTGTAGAGACGGGGTTTCACCATGTTGCCTGGGGTGGTCTTCAACTCCTGGGCTCAAACAATCCAGCGGCCTTCGACTCCCAAAGTGCTGGGATTACAGGCATGAGCCACCACGCCCAGCCTCAGGTACTTTTGAATTGGCCTATTTTTAAAATCATTTAGCAAAGCCTATTAAAATTTTGTTTCAGTTGAGAACCGAACATATTGGACTTTATGATACTAAGCCACTAAGGTATCTCTTTTGTTTATAATTATAAATTTTGAACCCCAGCGTTATTCATAAGAAAAAAACATTTTTTTTTGAGATTGGGTCTCGCTCTGTCACCAGGCTGGAGTGTAGTGGCGCAATCTCGACTCACCACAACCAACCTCTGCCTCCCAAGCTCAAGTGATCCTTCCACCTCAGCCTCCCGAGTAGCTGGGATTAGAGGTTCACTACCATGCCTAGCTAATTTTTTGTATTTTTTGTAGAGTTGGGATTTCACCATGTTGCCCAGGCCAGTCTCAAACTCCTGAGTTCAAGCAATCCACCTGCCTCGACCTCCCAAAGTGCTGGGATTACAGGTGTGAGCCACTGCACCCAGCCCAAGAAAGATATTTTAATAGGGAAA